CTTTCTTTCTTTCTTTCTTTCTTTCTTTCTTTCTTTCTTTCTTTCTTTCTTTCTTTCTTTCTTTCTTTCTTTCTTTCTTTTTTACACACCTACAGCACCTGATCTCCTTAGGTGATCTCCCATCCAAGTACTAACTAGGCCCGACCCTGCTTAGCTTCTGAGATCAGACGGGATCAGGCTTGTTCAGGGTGACGTGGCCATAGACTATTTGAAAACTTAGGAGTAAGCCAGTGTTCCCCAAGCTCACCCAACCAGGTGGTGGAGTGATGGGGCTCGAGATAATGCTTGTGGTTAAGCCAACTTGGAATTAAGTCTGGAGCAGTTAATTCTGCTGTGTGAAAAACAAATAAAAAACTAATTTTTTTTTTAACTCGAAAAAGAAATAATAAAAAACAAGTGCCCAATCTAACTTTTGAGGGAGATATATATAGAAAGATGTAGATATAGATGTGGATATAGGTATAGATAGAATAGAATTTGTATTTACTTTTGCATTGGCTTTCCTCCTTTTTGGGCCTTCTTTAATAACCAGATGTTTCTCTGAAGGTTAATGCCTCTCTCTGCACCTGGGTGGCAATGCAGGTCCAGATGAGATTTTGGACAGATGTGACAGATGATTTGAGAAAGGGGAAAGGGAGAGAGAGGGTTGTCAGCATGGACACTGGTACTTAGGGAGGCTTTACTGAGTGGAGGTGGGGAAAAGGGGAGTGATGGCCTCAAGAGTCCTTGCACAGTGCCTTCATACCACACCTGGAACAGTGACTTGGGAAGTGGCTGACGTGTTTATTTGGTGTGAGGTCAGCTACAGCTCTGAGGGCAATAACATTATCCCCATAAAACGGACCCCCCAGGTTGGGAGTCCAGCCTGCTTACTACCAAACAGGGGTGGTGGTCTAATAAATGAGACATTGCTGTCAGCTCTCCATAAATGGTGGATTCATTTGCTTTGTGGATCATGCAGGCTCTTCCTTGCCCTCCTATTTGTCCTGTTGGTTGCTTTTTAACCCCTTTCTTCCTTTGTGCTACTTCTTTTAGATGAAGAGGGAGGGGCAAGAAAATTGATTTCTGTGCCTATTGGCACTCCAAAAGAAGGTTTGGTGAAGAGTGAAGTTGAAGCAATTGGTAGAAGTTAGAAAAAGAAAAATTCCAGTTATAAGAACAGCAGAAAAAGTTTTGAACCTCAGAGGGTACCACAAATGAATACGAATTAAGAACATAGCTCTCTTTTCAAAAGCCAATGCAAAACGAGGGTGTATTTTATGCAAGAGCAGCTCTTCATGCCATTGGGCTTATGGTCTCATTCTTTCATACGTCAGAGTCAGACTTAGGAAATTCCCTGGGAGCTCCCTCTGTCACAGGCACTGTAGTTTCTCCATTCGAGTATAATTCTGTTGAATCTTGGGAGATTTTTTTGGTCTTCGGGAACCTGTTAAAAAATGGGTCTTCCTGGGGTGAAGAGACATCATGGTTCTGAGAAGAGGGTGTTGAGAAGACTGGCCAATGGGAATCTGGGTTCCAGTTTCAGTTTTACTAATACTGGCCTGGTGGCTTTAGGAAAGGTCTGTCATTTCCTTTGCCTCAGTAGCTTCATCTGTAAAACAGAATGATATGGGTGGGATGATAAAAATAAAAGCATCTGCCATTATGCTCGTAAGTGCTCAAGAAATTATTCCTTCTTGCCTGTCTGCCTCAGTTTTCCATCTGCAAAGCAGAGGATTGAACTAGAAGATCTCTGAGGTCTCTTCTGCTCTAACACTTTGTAACTCTGTTGGCAACACCTTAATACATTTCCAACTAACACTCCAGTGAATCTTAGTCTACAGATTCTATCCAATCATGATAGCGTTGTGATATTGACTTCGTATTATGATTTTTAGTTTTCTTTATCTCGATTTTTTATTTCTACTTTCTATTTTATGGTTTTTGTTTTTGTTTTTTTTTTTAAGTTTTTACAAGCACTCTAGGGAATAAGAGGAAAGTATAACAAATTGGATGAAAAAATGCATTACAATACTAATACTAATACTAATACTAATACTAATACTAATACTAATACTAATATATTGCTTTTATTGGACACTCACTTTGTTTGAGGAGCTGTACGAAGCACTTTATAAACATTGAGTCATTTATTTCTCACAATAGCCTTGTGAAGCCATAATTATCACCCCTATTTTACAGATGAGAAAACTGAGTCTTAGAAATATCAAGAAACTTGTCACACAATTAGTGAATGAGTGGCAGAGCTAAGCCACAAGCCCAGGTCTGGCTGAATCAGAGCAGTGGTGTGCTGACCAACGGGCTCTTAAGAACAAAACCCCAAATCCCTGATTTGTAACATTTACTGATTTCCACATGCAAATACTCCCACCACGGTCGATTTACCAACAGTTTAAAACCCCCTCAAAAAATTTCTGAATATTTAATGATCTACCTTTGCAAGCTAATCGGAGTGAAACCCCAAACGCTCCAGAGAGTGTTCGTTGATCACCATTGACCTATGCGACCTCCTTGGATCACAGGTGAGGGGATCTAAGCGGAGATGGTCATGAATAGAGAAAGTAGAGATGACAAATTCATATATTCATTCCTTATTTCACAAAGGCTTATTGAGTACCAGCTAAGTTCCAAGCTTTGTGATATTTGCTTGCAATATAGGCATGAGTAAGATGGGCAGGATGTATGAGTGTGTGAGCCCAGGGTAAGGAGAAATGAATTCTTCCCAGTGAGCAGAAGGACATGGTTAGTTACGTATACATGGAGGCTTCCAGGTAACACACATTTTGCTTCTTTTCCAATTTGTGGAGGGGCTCCTCTCACTCGAGAGGTGTGCTCAGTTCAGCTTTCTGCATTTCAGAATGAAACAGAGAAACCAAAGATGGGGTCAAAAAAGGGATGATGACGCAGGAAGGAGGCTCCTTAAAGTTGGGATGTTGTCTGATTTACCCCTACATTCTTGACAGCTAGCACCATGCTGGGCACATAATAAGCACTTAATGAATATTAACTGACCAGATGAATCATATATGGATAATGACTTGTGAGCTTCAAAGGAGGTTGTTGGAAGAAAGGGGACAGTGATTGGTAAGAAAATAAGCAGTGTTAGTGATCCCTAAGTATTTAAGGCCTCATATAGAGAAATAGAGTAAGCAGAGGGCAGAAAATGGGCAGGGACTCTAGATGCCCAGAGTGGAAGGAAAGTACTCTGACAAGCAAGTGTGTGTCCTGGAATGCAGTCTCGTGGCATGTGGGTGGGGATGATCTTGCTGAGGATGATCTGAAGATGGGGCAAATCTCAGGCTCCCACTCTGAGAAGCAAGAGGTGTTGTCACAAGCCTGCAGACATGTTTGGCGAGCTTGGGAATGCCAGGAATTATATCGTTTGCTGTTTTGTTTTCAAAGTTCAGTATGAGCGAAGCTAAAAAGTAATTGGTACAGCGAAGTTTGGTGATTTCTATGCATTTTATTCACATCTGTTTGCTCTCCTCTTTCTCTGATTATCTGAGAGGAGGTTGTTCTTGTGGAAAACCAGGGGTAGTTTGAATATTCTTATTTCTTGAGATCTAGAACTCTTTTTGTAAGGAGTAGGTCTGCATGTATATTTTGTAGATTATTTTCCTCATAAAAATGCCTTATATTTGTAGACAGTTCCTACTTTCCCAAAATCTTTCCGATAATTACTTTCACTGCATCCTCAAAACAATCCCATGAGGTCACGGCAATGAATTCTAGTAGAGCAAGGGCCCAAGATCGTTCATTTTAGACACAGAGATCGTCCTATTCTCCTGATTTCCCTTATGATAATACCTACCTCCTAGAGTGAGCGAGTTTTGGCTGAGACAGAACAGTGGGTAAAAACGGTCCTTTTTACTATCCGAGAACTTTTTTCTCTGTCGTGAAAAATTGAACCCGCCTGCCCCAGTTTCCCAGCCACCTTATGACTCGACGAGCAATTGCTTTCACTCTGACAAAATTAGGCCACCTCCAATCTAAATGGAGCTCGTTTTCAGAGTAAGACCCTGTATGGAGACAGCTCTTTCCTGAAAGGATAACAAAAGCATGCTTTTGTGTGTATTTCACTTGATGGAAAGGAATCCCCGGTGAGGCCATTTTTTCCCCCTGAATTCTCCCAAGTCCCAGAATGTATCTAAGTTTCCAAGATAATCTCAGAAGAGCCATTCATCTATGAAGATGGCGCACTTGTCTTCCAGCTCAGTAGACAGGGTGTGTTCAGAAGAGAAGGTGAGAGCGTGAGAATAGGGGAGTGGGAAGAGGGTGAGGGAGACTGAAAGCAAAAGATTAAGACAAATGAGGAGAAAATGTGTACCGACAAATGCTGACGGGAAAAGGAAAGAGACCAAAGGGCCAGCCCTGACTCTGGGGTCCCATCTGCCAGCGACATTTTCAGCTGATTCTTTTTAGGACCTGTCACAGTTTGCCTGGCGAGCTGTCACTTCTCATCACTTGGCTCTCGCTGAGGATCTTTGTGTCATCACTGTCATGAAGAGACCTGGCAACTGGCAAAGAATTTCCTGGGGCGCTACCTGATACACCATTACTTGCCTCTTATCATCTTAGCAGAGTAGTTACGCCATTGTCAGAGGTAATGGAGACCATGCCACTAAGAAAATTGGCTGTAATTTATTTATCAATTGTTTCTGCATACCACAAAAGCGGCCTTCTACTTTACGGCTGGGTCTAAGGTATTTGAGAGCCCCTGAAGTTCATGGTTTTCCGGTATTCTAAGTTCTACTTATGGCCTTTCCTGTATATGACACACAACACCACCCTTGTGGCTTGCAGGCCGTTTTCTTCTTTGCTTTCTTTAGTCACAAATCATCCTGAGGCATCCCTTAAGTGCATTTGTATTGTTAAGTGCACCGGCTTGATTTGGTGTTAATTCAATTTGAGTGCCCTTAATATCTTGTGGGGGTGATGCAATGCAGGCTGCCTGTACCTTGTAAAATCGGGTCCCAGGTCTGCCTGGGAGCAAAGCACCTTTCCCATAGCCATTTACCAAAGTTGCTGATAAAATTTTCATAAGGGAACCTTTTTAGTCTGACCCTATTGTGTTATTCTACCATTAAGTCTCAGAGAACTGAGCTGGCTTCTAGTGACAGCTTATCACGTTCTCCATTATTGCTGCCTGCCTGAAATGCTAACTGACTGGGTGTAGTGCAAACTCCCTCCCTCCCTCCCACTCTGATCCCTTCTGGGAAAAGCTTATGGCTCAGCACCTAGGGGCTAATGTGCAATCGTCTTTCTGTAGGTGCCAGAGAACTGAGCTCTCTTCCTGATGAACTGGTTTCCCTTCACCTTGGAAAGCTTGAGAAGCCTTGGAGGACTTCGTGGAGCCGGAATGATAAGAAAGTGATGGGGTGGGCTGAAATAGAGTAAGAGTTACAAGACACTTTACTTGAAAACACCCAAAGCAGTACTGACAGTGTCAACACCACTCTGACACATAGCTTGAACTGGAGAACTAGGCCAGGTAGTTGTCTTTGGAATGTTGGCATTGGAAATCTGGCAACGTCATTAATTCAAAGAGAACTCCAATATCTGGGGTGGGATATAACTGAGTTTGCACTCAAATGCAATAGCTTATCTGCCTTGTGAACTTGATCAAGTTCTTTAGTTTTGGAGCTTCAGTGTTTCCAACTGTGAAATGGGAATATTAACATGTACTTCATGGGCTTTTTGTGGAGATTGAGTGGGACAATGCATGTAAAGAGCATGCAGAGTGACAGGCATGTAGACAGCATCTCTTAATGGCTATTTTAGAATCTAGGAGGCCCTCGGAGGTCATGAGGTGAGAAAGCTGGTTCAGGGAGTGATGAAATTATCTACTAGCACAAGATGAGAAAAAGAAAGAGGTGGGTACAGAAATCTGGTCTCCCGACCCCCACCTAGGTCTCTTTCTGTCCTTCTCGCTGTCTCTCCAATGATGTCCACAGACACTGGGAGCTTGGGTAGATTTTGGGTGCATGAGGCTACTTTCTATTTCCTCGATGATGACAGTTCTGAACAGCAGACTAACCTCTTCCAGGCCATTCTGCCTTGTTTTGGTGGCTGTGTCTAAAGAGTGGCTCGAGCCCACCCAGAAATATGAGCACTGTCCTTACTTGTCTCTGCTGCTCTGGGTGAGAGAGCACGGTGGTCTGAGAAACAGAAATGGAGATGCTTTCTCAAAAGAACATTTAAAAATGATACTTATAAAAGCAATACGTGTTCTCTGTAGAAATGAAAAAATCCAGATAAAATACAGATACTATAGTGAGAAGGAAAAAAATCACCTGCCACCCTACCACCTGTAAGCATGAGCTGCTGTGCTGTTTTCTTCGAGGCTCTTTTCTATGCACATGCACATGCGTGCTTGTCCAGGTCCTCACTCACTACAGTATATAGTTGTGGTTAAAAGCACAGTCTGGTTTCACCACTTGGGCAAGTTATTTAACTTTTCTACTATTGTTTCCTCATCTATAAGCCAGGGCTTCATATAGTACCTTCCTCAGAGGGTGGTTAAGAGAAGTAAATGAACTAATCCAAGTAAAACACAGTGCCTAGCATGCAGTAAACATTGTAAGGGGTTTTCCTTTAGAATTATTGTTACGTGCAATAGAAACCCGGGCTCATATGATATATTTTGCTGGATGTGCAGTTTTTATGAAGCTGTTTCGTCTTTGCTCGCACTCAGCTGCTAGACTATAATGCTTTCTTAAACTGCTCACCCAGACAGGGTCTCAAGTTCAGGTTGAGCCCTGCCCTCCTCCTGGCTCAGCATACCAGGGCTGAAAGGCGCTAATCATGTGTTCATCTTCAAAAGGATTTGACAGTATTAACACACGAATTCCTACAGCCTGACTCCTGTTAGGGTTTATTAGACCCATTTTACAGGAGGGAGAATTAAGACTAAATAGTATTGAAGTGACAGCATGGGGTCACCAAGCAGATGAGGAGGACATTCTGGCTGCCGAGAAATAAACAGTGAATGAATAGCCAGAGAAGTGGCTGGGCTGCTCCTGAGCTTGGGATTGGTCGAATTTAGACTGGAGAGAGTCAGGCCTCCGTGGAGCAAGGAGTAAGGCTGAAATCTGAAGACAAGTTATCGGAATCAAATGTCTCATGGAAAATCTCTGACAGTCTTCTTGATGTGTGCTTGTGTGTGTGCAAATGTGTGTGTGCGTGTGTGTGTGGACGCGTATTACCATTTTGGTGTTCTTAAGCATCCTTTTGTGGAATTCAAACATTCTGAGATTGAAAAATGATAATTTTAAGCCAGACCGGGCAAGGTAGGGTCATAAATCAGGAAAGAAGACCAGGGTCTGGCTTCGTGTATGTGTATGTGTGTATATATATGTGTGTACATGTGAAAGGTGTGTACACATACATATGTGGGTATATGTGTGTATGCATGTCCATGTCCATGTGTGTAAAGACTGTCAGAGCTTTTCCATGCACAGTGAAGGCGCCAGCATGCAGGCCTCTTGGGGTGAGCGGGAGGAGCAGATGTGAGCCTGCGGAAGGGAACTGGTTTTGATGAAATATTGGCTAACGCTCGGGGCACCGAAGGAGAGGAGGCTCTGGTCAGGGAACTGTACTGCATTAGAATTTATAATAGATTAGCTTATCTGCCCCTTGATCTTCAAGGGTATTTGGGGAGCTAAGGATGAGGCATTTCTGCCTTGATTTTCACAGTGAGAGGAAACCTCTGGAACAGTATTTCCAGCCTTTCCCTCTGCACAGCCCAAGGCGGTGAGAGTTTGCTATTCACACCCCCACTCAGGTCATTTGGAGGAGGCTGACAGTCAGTGCCCAGGAATGCTGACATGCTTCAAAACAGCACACAAGAAAGAACCCACTCAGATTCCTAAGGGGAGCTGCTGTCGGTCCACCCCGAGTTGGAGTGTAATATTGGATGCGATTGCCACGGCTCCCCCTCCCGCAGCAGAAGCTCGAAATCCATATTTATCTGTCTGCTGGACTCCCCTCTCCCTGTTCATCTGTCTGTCTGTCTGTCTGACTCTGTCTTCCTTGCTCTCTGAGGTAAAGGGTGCTCGCTCTCATGAAAAGGGGAGAGTGCCAGGATGTTCCAGATGAGCTGCTGCCAGAGATGTTGCTTTAAACGCCAATGAGCTGAAGCAGCCGGGAAAGAAAGAGCGAGGGGTGAAGTGTGGTTTGATGTCTGGGCGCACTGGGGAGATGATTCATATAACATGAGCCCCTCAGGGTCCTTGATTAAATCCCAGCCTAGCTCCCCCAGCTGAACTGGAACTCTGAAGTCCAGCCAAGGAGTGTTACTGGTCCTGCCTCGGCAAACAATTGGTGGGTCAGAGGCAAAGGCCAGGGGAGGGGTGATTCTTTCACTGGAAAAATTACCTGCTGGGAAAGAAGGAATCGTATGATGTGTGTGGCAGGGAAGTCCAGCCAGGAAGGACCTGGCTCTCACATTACAAGACTGCCTTCTGAAGCCAGAGAGAATTTTTATTGCCTGAGAGGCCTGCAGTCCCCAGCCAAGGTGCCTGTGGCATGGCTGTGGCAGGCTGTGGTGATGGGGGGCTGTGCCCCAGGGCTCTGGAAGCCAGGCTGGGAATGAGGAGGGAGGAAAGCTGGAGACGGGGCATCACTGTCCTCAGACTCACTCTTCTGAGGCAGGAGGGAGATGTAGAGGAGAGAGGAGATGCCCCGTTTCCTGTCCAGCTAAGTGCAGTGAGGCTTCTATTGTCCTCGTTTTGGCCTTTGTATGACATTTCACACTTTTGGCTACCTCATCTCCACCCTCCAGCTTCTTAGATCCTTCCTTTGTTTCAATGGATCTTCTCTCTGCTTCTCTGAGTGCACTCATTCTCTCTTTTTATGGAAGTTGCATAAGCATCTTTCATATAGGGAAGCCCCCTGCCCCAATGCTTAGTTTGTGCAGATTTGGGTACAGAGACTTGGGGCATGAAACCCTAGTCTGGTCATTGTATTTAAAGATGGACCTGCGAGCTAAGATGGTCTGATCAAAGCCAAAGCTGGAACTTCCGTTGGAAACTTTTGTTGGAACTTTTGGGACAGAGAATTTCTCATTCATCTGGGTTAATGAGAGGATAAAAGCCCGGAGCTTCCTAGGGCCACTATGATGAGAAAATCTGTCTGAAAGTGAAGCTACTGGAAAGGGAAGAAGAGTAAAGAGGTAGGTAGAGGTGGATTTCAGCTGGCATCATCTGAGCACTGGGATTAATTATACCTGAGGTCAGGGTCCATTCCCAAACTCTTCAATGAAACTAACTAAGAAACTTCTCAACCCCTTTTTTAAAATACAGTTGAATTTTTTTTCTGCTAGTTCTAATTGAAAGTATATGTCTGTATGTTAGGTCGATACACCATTTTTGTTTTTCCTGAATGGAGGTTCCTCTCTCTCTTTCTACTACTCATCTATGTGTATCTCCCAAAGTTAATTACTTAGCTTTCTGTGCTTTCTTCTTTACCTTACTCGCTCAGCTTCCTATCCACTCTGTGGTGTCAACCTTTGTGAGGATGACCCTCTCTCCCACATTTGTGGTTCTAACTTAGATCTTGTTCCCCATGTCCAGCCATCTATAACACATTTCCACATGTGCATCATGCACATGGACATGCACAGCTGGCTGAAGTCAATTTGTTACTCCCAATCCTTGGGAAGGATAGGCCCCCCCTTCTCCACTTCCTCTTCTTCAGCCATGGCATCTGGTACCCCTAGTTCAAAGTCAAAATTATCTTTGATTCCTTCTTCTTCTCCTTCCTGCCCCATATTGAATCATCCGTCAAGTCTTCAAAAAGTTCTCTGGTATATGTCATCTTTTTTCCATCCAATACTCTCCATCCTCTGGTCTAAGATTTATCACGTTTATCTCAAAAGTCTCTTACCTGGCTTTCTAACACCCATTTCAAACTGTCCTACCTATTTAGCACCCTTCTGTTCATTCCCCAAATACCTTTTTAACCTTTCAGCTTATCTGAGGAAACCAGACTTCTTACTGATGCTCATCACCATGCCCCTCAGATATTGGTATTCATGACCACGAGAAGCCACGGGAGCATCTTTCTGGAATGCTAATTTGACTTCAAGATTTCTTGGGGGAAGGTAAGTGTTTTAATGAGCAAGTAATTAAAAACATTTTGTATTAAAACAGATTGATCTTACGTAAAGTAGAATGCAAAATTCAGATGAATTTTAAAGATGAAACATAAATTTCAAAGACATTCTGAGATTGGAGAAGTCACCACCCAAGAGTTCTGGCGTTCTTTTTTGTCCCTGCCGTTGGGAAGGAAGTTTGGAGAGGCACCAACATGTAGAGTCACGTCTAACCTCCTCGATTCAGTGTCTAGCTCCACTGGCCCTCTCTTTCCTACTCTCCTCCTTGTCTCATTATTTCCTGGAAGTGGAGGATCCTTCTGGCTGTTCTTTGAACTCAACATTTTCATGCTCAACCTTGTTTCATGTCACTGCCTCCTTTTCCAAATGATTTCCCCTTCTACTTCATCAGCCTAAATCACCTGCCTCTTTCAGGCATAAACACCAGTACCTGTGTAGCCTTTGGTAGCCTTTGAAAACCATACCACTAAATGGATTATATACTAGACAAGATTCACTCACCAGTTCAAAATTCTTAAAAGTCTCTGTCTTCTCTGGCTGTGGGATGAAGTCCAGACACTCTGGCTCTTGGCTGATCTGGTCCTGGCCTGATGCTTCAGTCTCAACTCTCCTCATGACCTTTCAAGCTTTGATGTCCAGACTTTAAGCAAGACTGCAGTGCCCTGAAAGCACAGTGGTCAGTCTCACTTTTATCTTGGGTCTCTCCACTCTCTTCTTCTCTTGTCTTTATCCATTATTGCTCAGCTCAGGCAAAACACCCTTCTTGGCCATCCCTCCTGAGCTATCACAGCCCCACGAGCAGAGCTCCATCTTAGTGTCCACCAAAATAGTCTTGCTTACCTTTTTCTGTGCTCACTAGATTGTGAACTCATTAAGTGCAGGAACTAATCATCTTTGTTGCCCCCGCTATGATATTTCTTAAGTGGATGAATTCACGAATAATAGGAGGTATCAAGAAACAAGATTTAGTGTCTTCGTCCTTTATCTATGTGATCTTGGGCAAGTCACTTTAGCTTTCTAAGCCTGTAGATTATTTTCTAATCAATCGTGTTCTTTTTAAAAAATTTTAAAGTGTAGTTGACATACAATATTGTATTAGTTTCAGGTGTACAACATAGTTACTAGGCATTTATATAACTTATGAAGAGATCACCCTGATAAATCTAGTGCCCATCTGACACCATACATAATTATTAAAATGTTATTGACTATATTCCCTATGCTGTACTTTACATCCCTGTGACTATTCTTATAACTGCCAATTTGTACTTCTTAATCTCTTTCACCTTTTTCACCCATCCCCCACCCCTCCCATCTGACGACCATCAATTGGTTCTCTGTATCTATGAGTTTGTTTCTGTTTCGTTCGGTAATTTTTTTTTTTTTTAGATACCACATATAAATGAAAACATATGGTATTCGTTTTTCTCTTTTTGACTTATTTCATTTAGCATAGTACTCTCTAGGTCCATCCATGTTGATCTCTATTTGCTTGAGGGTTCCTGGGAATATCAATGGTTTCAGGTGTACAACATAGTTACTAGACACTTATATAACTTATGAAGTTATTACCCCCATAAGTCTAGTGCCCATCTGACGCCATACATCAGCAGACTGAAGCTAAAGACTGGACCTGGGACTAAGACCACAGATGAGAAACTAGGGATTGGTGGGTGAACCGGATCAAGGATGCCTCTTCCTCTTCAAGGTGGTGTAGTTTACACGCAAAACCATACTCAGGTTTGGTTTAGGAGCTCTGGGTAGAGGTCAGTAGAGTGACAATTTGGGGTGAGACAGCATATTTTTATACAAATAATTCTGTCCCAGCCCACAGGGAAGCTGTCAATTATATTTTTAAATTCCAAGAGCTCTTGTTTTGTTTTGTTTTTTACTGAAAATTCCTTTTATAGGCACTCTATTCTCATTTCACGGATGTAAAATCTTCTCTTATTTCTCAGAATATTAATCATGTTAATTAAGAAATATTTGTTCTGTTCTTTGCCTTGTCTCTATTTCCTATAAATTCTTTTTTGGTCTCTTTCTTCTAGGTTAGCGGTTTTCCTCAAGAGTCTAAGAGCAGAAATCCTTTATATTTATGTATATTTAAGAATGAAGGGCCAGAAAGTAAAGGAAAAACCCATGCGTGTAGGTAGGACTGCTGAGTGGTGGACCTCACCAAATTGTGATCTGGCAGTTGATTTTGACACCAACAAAGGTAGATCTTTCTACTGGAGTCATCAGTTTCTGCAATCTCCCATCTCTTCTAGTCGCCAGACTCAGGTGGGGGCAAACAAAGTGGGAAAGTGACTGAAAAGAGGGGTTTCAAATTTTTACTTAATCTTCTTATTTTCTGTATAGCATCTCACTGCTCCTCTCTGCTTTACCTGCCTCTAAGTCCAGAGCCCTTCTGGAATGATCTAGCCACAATGTAAACCTCTTTTCTTTTTCTTTTCTTTTAGTGGGCTAGAGAAGGGGGGGTTTCAAATTTTTACTTAATCTTCTTATTTTCAGTATAGCATCTCGCTGCTCCTCTCTGCTTTACCTGCCTCTAAGTCCTTCTGGAACGATCTAGCCACAATGTAAACCTCTTTTCTTTTCTTTTAGTGGGCTAGTGAAGGGGGTGGGGAGTGGCTAGATTTTCCATAAAGACTTTTAATCAATCTCCCGATTTTCAGCCATATATTCTAACCTGCCCCCCTCCCCAACGCCCAATGTTCTGAAACACTCAGCGCCTTCAATTACTGAGCCGTTCCAGTTTTTGTGACTGACTGTGCTTCTTGTTGGTTCCCAGGCCCACCCTTCCATCCAGTGAGGCTTCATCTTTATTGACTTCGAAAAGCTATCTTCAATACCTTTCTCCTTGTTCAGCCATGTTGGGCAGAACTGGAAGTTGGGCTGATTTCCTTTTAAAAAAAAATTATGTTTTTACAATACGAATACTTTTTTTTCTAATTTTTCCCTATGCCCATCAGTGTCCTGAGTACTAGAAGGACATTGGTGGCCACCGCAGACACTGTCTTTTCCTCACGATGTTTACAGTCTAGTTGGGGAGAGAGACAGTCAAACAGGAAACTTACAAGTGAGAGGAGTGCTACGAAAGGATCAATACATTCAAGGTTTCGTGAAAGGAGCAACATCAAAGCTGAGATGATGTACATAAGTAGGCATTAGCCAGGTAAAGAGGTGAACCAGGTAGAAAAACAAAAATGTTAAAGTTTGAATGTAAGAGAGAAAAGGCACATATAAAAATAAAAATAAATTCAAAAAGTTACAGAAATTATTAAAGAGAGGGAGGTATGAAGAATGGGGCTGGAGAGGTAAGAGAAACCAGATCACACAGAGCCTCACAAGCCCTGATGTTAGATTTACTTTGAGGACAGTAGAAAGGCACCAAATGCTCTAAGTACAAATGTGACTGCACCATTTGTGTTCTTTTTTGGGTGGGAGGCGTGGTTTACCTTGTTTTCTATTTCTTCCAGTTTTATCACTGTTACTTTATATACATTAAATGTATATTGTGAGATTCCTGTATTCCCATGATAGGTATATGGTGCATGTGTTATTGTTCTTGCTATTCTTTTTTTTGGTCTTGAAGTTTATTGTCAAATATTGAAATTGATACTCTGACCTTCTTTTATTCATATTTGCCCTGAATATGTTTTCATCCTTTCATTTTTCTGTTTCTTTTAATTTCTCTCATAGACCACATATTTTTGATATATATGCAAAAACCAATTTTAGCTAATCTGAGTCTCTGTCTTTCCTATACTTTATTTATCCTTAAGGCTATCTCAGATCTATCTGTATTCTATCCACCTAACATCTCTCTATTATTTATCATCTATCATCTATCTATAATCTTACCCTGAACAAGTTGGACATGTTAGCATAATCTCACATCTCTTTGCTTTTCATTCTTTTCTTAAATTTTCTTCTTGATATTGTTTAAAACTTTTGTTTTGTGTTATTATGGATACACTTATTTCTATCTGTTTCTTAATATTTTAGACAAAAATAAATTCTACTAAATTATTTGAATCCCTTTATTTCCCATATGTCTTTTAGCAATCTCCTGGATTTACTTCTTGCCTGAGTTTTCTAAATGGTTCTTTGTGCAGCAAACCTGCTAAAGCCTTATATGCATGAGAACATGTCTATTGAGCCCCTAGATTTAAATTGTAATTTGGGCGAATATATAATTTTATATTAAAATTGTTTTTTCTTTTAGAGGAAACAGTTACCATGTCTGGTTATCTGTGTTGATGAGAGGCTCAGATTCAGCTCCTAGAAGAGGGGCAGGGATGGGTGCCAAGGCAGAGTGCTCCATGTCCCACAGAACATAGCCCACCTCTTCAATATTTTACCCCTCCATCAGGTCATAACTTTGGTTAGTATCCTCCCTTAAATGCCCTGGAAAGGCAACCTGGAAAGAGAATAATGTATACAGATAAGTTTTTCAAACTCTGGGAAGCAACCCATTAATGAGTCATGAAATCAGTTTAGTGAGTCAGCCGGTATAGGGGTGGGGAAGGAGAGAGGAGGAGGAGGAGGAGGAAGAGGAGAAGGGAGAGGAAGAAGAGGGAGAGAGGGAGGGGAAAATTGGGGAGGAGAGAAGAAGGAGAAGAAATAGAATGGAATAGAATGAAATCAGATAGGATAGAATAGAATAGGAAAAATATACTGGTCATCCCAATAGTAAGCATGATGCTTTCTGCAACTCTTTCATTTGTACAGGGCTATATAGATACTGAGTCACTATGTAAAATATGGTTTTTTTTTTTCACTGTGAAAGTCAAAATAAATCTGAAGAACCAATCCTGAGACAAAAGGCCATGGAGGAGATAGGAGTGAATGCTTAAGGTCAGCTAGCCAGTCTACTTTGTTTTATCAGTTCCTCACCCCACAGGGTGTTGGCACTGCCTTGGTTTTACCCAACTCCCACCTCCCACCTGGCTCATACTTTTGGCTTCTTTTCTGTAGGGAGACAGGCGATTATCCTCCAGAGGTAATGTTGGCAAGAGTAGAACTTGAGAGCTTTCCCTCAACTGTTCTTCATTAATTCACTGATACCCATGCCCCAGGTTGGCCCTCCCCACATATTTAGTCTACCTAGGGGTTCCGCACAGTTTTTATATTAATTCTCCAAATCAAGTCTTGCTTCCTATTTCTGTAGTCCTTCCAGGTTGGTTTTGTGGGAGGGATCCAGCAGCTCAGGCTAGTTTTCATCCTGATGGGAAACAGGAACCATACCTGCAGTGTAGCCTAGAACCACCATGGTCCTGTGCCCTGCTCCTCAGCATCCTGTGCCTCCCTCAGCCTTCACCCCCTCTCCCTGCTGCCCGGGTCCTCCCACTCAGTAAATTCTTATGCTGCACTCTCTCTGTTCCCCATGCACTATCTTTTTTGACTTTGGCCTTTGCCTGTGATTATTGGAAACCTCAGGCCCTGGCCAGCAGGGAAATTTATAGCTAAACAATTACATTGTTGAAACTCTGACAAGTCCACTCTGGTTAATGGCTCTGAAAATAAGGGAGAGGTGTAAACGATTAAATCTGTGAGGCTCCATATAGTGAACCTGCAAAGATAGACTTGTAGGACCTGTTTACTTTGATGGGAATTTTTTGTTTTCTTTTCTTCTTATGTTATTGTTCCAAATACTAGTCTCACTCAGTATGGATTCATTACCTGGAGAATGGCTTGGATATTTGGATAATCATCCTCTAAATAGTTTCTTTTTTTCCCTTTCCTATTATGGTTTTTGAAACTTGGCCAACAACAATGCAACAGGCAAACAACGGACTGAGAAAAAAATCTGGGTTACTGTGCTGGGTTACTAGTAAATTATCATAGATTGGATGCAGGTGGGATTCCTTAACTTCCCAGCCTGGCAGAGAGCTTTTAATAAAACAGCACGAGGAGGGAGGAGCTGCTTTTGAAAAGGCGGTGTCATGGAATTTGGGGAGGAAAGAAGAAGGCAGATGCTCAATGGTCAAAGATAAAAGCGCACTGCCAGAAAGGGCAGGTGAGCCATCTTGGGCAACCTGAAAAATTGGGCCTTTACTTTACCAGGGTAGATCAAGTCGTGGGTCTGATTTGTCACTTCCTTGTAGTAGTGTCATACCTGTACACCTTTGCCGTGGTCTCTTGGTGGGTGGGGGTTACTTCCCCACCCTTTGATTTTAGGTTTGGCTAAGGGATTTCCTTGGGCTAACTAGAGGTTCATGGATGTGATGTGAGTGTAGGCTTGAAATGCACTTGTGAGATTGGGCTTGCCCTTTTGTGCTCCTGTTTTTTGCCATGGAAAGAACACACCTCAGGTAAGTGCTGGTCCAGACAAAATGAGAGATGTGTGGAAGAGCTCTAAATCCAACCCACAGCCAGCCAAGCCCTGCCTACATCAATAGCCAAATGCCCGTCAACTCATAGATATGTGAGGGCAAAAAAATTTTTGTTGTTGATTTCCAGAGATATTTTGTGGTTTGTTATGCAGCTAACCTGACCCATGCATCCACTTAACAGAGCTGCCCTTGGACAAATGAAGGAAGCACACTCTACTCTTTTCTGAGTTGATACTTGAGTTTAGTAAGTAGAGGTGGTTTCAGAGCCCAGGAAAACTCTAAACCATTGCTTTCTGTGGCAAGGTGACCAATCTAAACGGCAGTGCCATCGTCTCCAAGGTATAGAGGGGAGAGCAGAGACATAGTCTTCAGCACTTGCTGAGATACGGCAAGAAGAATTGAGGGATCATTTCCAGCAAAGAGTAGGGAAACGGCATTTCAAAGTGTTGTTTACTGTGGGAGATCAAAGTGAAGGCCTTTGGGTGATCTACACAGAACCGTGCCAAAATAAAGGGAAAAAAAATGTTCTGAGAGCTTTTATGGTCGTGGCTTCATCAAGAGTGAGCAGAAATTCACTTTGCCTTGACCAATGTAGCTTTTCATTCAAAACCGGAACTTTGATTTGATTTTACTGATGCTAGATCTCAGTATTCAATACTTAGCATAGCTGCTAAACAAATAGGAGATGCTCGATAAATTGACTCGTAATTGATAGATTATCAGAAAACTTAAACCTAATCACAGCACTGCCATTAATTAATTACACGACTCTAGACTAAAAGCTTAACCTCTAAGTTCCCTCATGCAGAAATGAGCATGAAACTATTTGATGTCTGTAGTCTCCATAATCGTTGGGAAGATCAAATGAGATGAAGATGGAAAAAGTCTGCAATGCCCTAGAACTGATAGAATATTATTTCTCTACAGATACTGCTGTCTTGGTGCTTGGTGCTTGTGGAGCAAAAAGAATGCTGAAGCAAGAATGCAGCCTTGAAGGGGTCGTAATGAGATATTTTCCCCTGCGGTCTCTACAGGAAGATGGACCAAAGAAGTAACAGCAATATTGCTCTGTCCTTTCACCATTGTAATTTCTAAGGCCAAGTTAGGTCTCTGGTTTAGGAAATTAAGCTTTTTATTGCACCTTACACTGTATGCTGGGAGTCCTGATTTGACCTCTAATTGTTTTGTAAAAGCATGTACTCAGTAAGCTGCATTGCAGTATTCAACCAGCAACATTAGGCCATCTCACCTCTTTTTAAAGATCTCCAGCGACATGGTGTTATGGCTTGAACCATGTTTTTCCAAATTCATGTGTTGGCTTCCTAACCCTTCAGTACCTTATTTGGAGATAGGGTCTTTACAGAGATAAAGTGAGGTTATTAGTTAAAGTGAGGTTATTAGTGTGAGCCCTAATCTAATATGACTGGTGTCCTTATAAAAAGAGAAAATGCAGTAGTCACCCCTATGTTCCAAGACCAGCAGTGAAAGCCTGAAACTGCAGGTAGTATCTAACCCTACATACACTATAGTTTTTCCTACACATACATACCTTTTCACTTAAAGGAAACTCTTTACAGCTTCTCTCGGGCATTTCCAAATTGCCAGCATCACTATTCTTGAGCTTTGATGCCACTTACTTATATTAAGTAAAATAAGGGTTATTTGAACATAAGCACTGAGATACTGTGAAGGTGGATCCGATGACTGAAGAAACAGCTAGTGATTAACAGGACAAAGGAATAATTCACGTCCAGGGAGGGATGAGCAGGACTTGAGGATTTTATCATGCTACTCAGAAAGCATGCAATTTAAATGTCAACAAGTGTGGAAGGGCCAAACTGAGAGAATTTCTGAGCAACAGAGCCTGGGTCATAATGTGCCTAGCCTTCCTGATATGCGAGATAATACATTTCTTCGCTATTAAGAGTCAAATGTTATAATTGACAGAGAGCCTTAAGAAAATAGGAATCTTGTGTTCTTGTCAGGTATGTATGGTACAGCTCCTGAAGTGGGTTAGTATGGGAGAAAACCCAGATTTTAAATGGTGAACTGTTGTCTGTGTTTGTTTAATGCAACTAAAGTGTTTGCTTCCTATTGATTAGCTTTTTTAAATGCAAGCCAGAGATGCTCACTGAGCCCTCAAATGACTTCCCCACTGATCCGATATTTTATCCCAATTATATTCCACGTATCTTATATAGAGTAGGGGTCATCACATGGTGAACTGGACACATCTTATAAATGACACTTAACTATAAACACCTTAAAAAACCCTTAAAAATCTGATATTGATTTTATAAAGCTGTCTAAATTATGTTGAAAAAGAGGTATTTAGATCATGTATGACTGAAAAAAAGGAAAAATATATTACGACCTTTCATTTCTAGATGGCTGCTCTTAGTGAATGTACTTGGTGTCTTCCTCACAAAAATGTAAATATTCTTTATAGTATATCTCTGATGGCTTGAAGAACTTGGAGAATGAAGGGCTTTATGCTGTAAAATTATTATTTTCAATATTTCTGATCAAATAGCTTATAAGTAGGTGAATTATATATGTTTCAAACTGGTTTGATAAAAAAAAAAAAAAATTTTGTCCATGTATTCATGCTGGATATGATGGGTTTTTAAGTTTTAGGCATTCAGTCTCTTTTATGCAGCCTCACTTTGATACCCAAGGACTGGCTACCTTGGTTCCCAGTGGCCCCAAGTTCTCTTTGACCACTGTAAACTTTCATCAGTGTTTCTGACCTGGATGTGAGATAATTTGCTTTTTTAGAGGCAGAGAAGTATCAATTCTTGAAAAGGATAAACTTTCCTAGTTTCATTCAAGTAACCAATGTATGATTTCTAGTTTTCCTTTTAGTGAACTTATAAATTTGGTGTGTGTGTGTGTGTGTGTGTGTGTGTGTGTGTGTGTGTGTGTGTTTATGTACACACATGCGTGAGCTTTTTATAAACCAGTAGCAAACAGCTTAAGAGATGTGGTCACACAGAATGGACTGTGCATGCTTTTTTTGAGTGAGAGATAATAAATCATTCTTCTCAGGTGGAATCTTTTATTTATGCTTTGGGATTCCATTTTATCGAGAAAGCTTTGGTTTTCCTTTTTGGCTTTGTCTAAGCTGTACTTTAGCGAGTAATTCAAATGAAGCTGACATTTATTAGTGAGGACATGGTCCACTCCGGTCTCATACTCACAGTCCAGCTGTTGCCATACCAACTTTGCTATGGACTTTTCTATTTGTAAGTATGTGAGCGTAATGACAATGTTGTATGGTTGCAGATATACTGCTTATAAGTCAGTGGAATAAAATAACTATCCATTTCCATGCCATAGGAATCGGTTATCAAGGGTTTTTATTTTGTTATGAAAAGAGCGATATCTTAAAATCTGAGCAATTAGATGGGGTTACCATAATCAGGAACATAAGGTTTTAGTAATGGGTTATATATTGAGAATATTCCTATTGTCTAAGACATTTCACTCTCATCCTTTTACCGTCACAATAATCCTGAGTTAGGAGGGCCCATGCCATTATTCCCGTTTTATAGTTGAAGAAAGCAACTCGAGGAAGCAAAGTGACTTTTCCCAAGGCCATTCAATTAAAAAGTGGCCAGTCCTGGGACTTAAACTCAGTGCTTCTGAGCCTACTCTCTTTCCACCACAGAAAGAAACAAAGTTTGGAACAGTACTCTGAGAGCGTGTCTGAAATGTTGCCTGTGTTGTTCTTGACACCGATTTTTTATGATATTCCACAGAGATTTTTAAATAACTCCCTTTGTTGGAAAATAGAACTGTTTATTTGGGTTCTCTGGCTGGCATGCCTGTTAAATCTTTTCTACGTTATTAAATACTTCTTAGGGCAAGGGTGGGGTTGTTTCTAGAAAGCCATTGCTTCACATTCCTCCCTTAGAAATCCAGAAATTTAGATTCTCTGGAGCTGGACCCTTTCAAAGTTCACATGATGAAAGGATTCACTGCTGTTGTTAGCTCCCCTGTGGAAGAGTTAAAAGTTTCAATGCTCTTTCTGCATCTAAGAGATATTATTTTGTCCTGATAACCATAGCTCCTGGAATTCACTCTGTGAGTTCAAAAACTCACTCAGTTAACAATTTTTTGAGTGTCTATATATTCTGGTGGTGCTCAGCCCCTCCCTTTAGTGATCTCATCATGTTTTCTTGTTTACAGGGACTGTATTCAGGAGCAAACAGTCGATTTTGCTGAGATTAGTAATAGACTAAAGAGACAAAACATTGTTTTTCTACTTGAGTTACTTTGCTCTTACAGAATATTCCATTGAGTGAATGTTGGACACAGGTGGTTCCTTTTAAACCTGGATCAATATGTTCCAGAAGTTGTGCTATTCACACTTGAAATCTGTAAAGCAGCATGCTTAAAGTAAAGGCTGTTTCTTCAAATTAGAGAAAGAATGTCTTTTGGTCCTGGGCACCATTTCCGTTTAACTCTGGAGAGCATCAGGTGGGCTACCAACTGTCTGGTTTGGATACTGGGAGTGGCCCCACCGAGCTGGAAGGCAGCATGTCAGAGAGTGCCAGGCAGGGGAAGGAAGGAAGTAGTTTGCATGCTTCCTTGTCCTCTTCTCTATGCTTCTGCCCTGATATTGTTCCATTCCAATGGCTTGCTTCATTATTCAGAGCTTGATCAGAGAAACAAAAGCCACTCTAGGTATCATAAGCAGAAATGTCTTTAATTCAGAGAATAAGAAGCTTACAAAGCTGTTGGAAGGACTGGAGAGTTAAGGCCAGGGAAGCTCCTACTGCTCATCTCAGCTGCCTGCAGCACTGGATTGGGTAATTCTCGAAAGCTTGCCCGGAAGTCACTATGAAATCTCTGTGAAGCCAATGCCACTGGCCTACAGCTCCAGAGCAGGCAGCTCTCTGGAGCTTGTCTGGAAACTCCTTCATCTGCTGACTGACAACACATCCGCCTGGAACTCATGCAGGGGAACTCTGGTTTCCAAATGCAGTGCAAGGGCCGCTGAGAGGCAGACTCTAACCCACAACTATACAAGGGAAGATTTCTGAGAAATGTGTTTTCAGGATCCTCTCCCATGATGCAGAGGAGAATACAGCAGGAGGTGGTGTTGATGCTGAGTTATCAGCTGACAACCGAGGACATTGCCTGTATCTATTTTAAAGACATTTTTTTTAGTCCTCACTACATGTAAAACACTGTTACCAAGTAAGAATGCATTAGACCAAGGCTGCATGATGATCACAAATACGACGATGATTACAGATATGAAGGTGAGTGCTAATTAGAATTTGGTATTCTTTATCCTCTTTAAAAACTTCTTTTTTAGGAAAAAAAAAAAAAGAAATAGAGAACTAAAAATGAAGAGAGAAGGAAACCAATGATGGCCTCACTTTAACCTATCTTTGTATCTCCAAAGTAAACAACTTCATTCACCAGTGAAGATAATTTTTTAAAATTTTGTAATAATCATTTCAGTTACTTGCTGAGTCTATACCAAGTTTAAATGAATTTCAAATATTGGCAAAGAGTTTATATTCCAACATTAAGAGAGAGATTCCTAAATCAACAGTTCCCAAAATGTCTGTAATGCAGTGAAGCCCTTCTAGGATATTAATACAATGAAAAAAATCTTTCTTTTTAAAAGTTAAAGTGAGATGATGAGAGAAATAGAAAAATTAATCTTGTAGAGAATTGCCTTCTCGTTTTTTCCTCCAGCTCTTTCTTTTTCTAATCCCCATTTCAGCATTTACTTGTTCTCTAGTCTCTCTTTCTCTCCTCACACCAATTGTGCCCTTTGCTCTTCCCTTTCTTTCATTTCCAAGGAAATTTGGCCACAGCCAGTAATGGTTCTCCCCCGCCCCAGGAATACTGATTGTATTAATATAAATCATTTGTGGATAACATATGATTAGCCGACTGCTCAGGCCAGTAGGTCTTGGAATGTGCCCTCCTTCCAAAGCCCTCTTCCCTCCCACATATATCTTCATCACTGGATTTCAAAGACAGTTAACACACAGGAAGAAGAGCCATTTTTTTCCCCCCAGCATCTCCTCCTCCCACCAAAACTCACCATTGCATCCAATGGGAAAGAAATGAGATGATCAGAATTTTTTTCCTTAGAAAATTTGCAAAATGAAGCCCAAGAGACAGAGCATGCCAGATGCTGTGGAGAGTGTGACCACTCAGTCCCTTCGGCCACACATGCTGAAGTCATGAGGTCGGGAAATCTGACTCAGGAGTCACCATGCAGTGTGGGAGCTGACCAAGCACCAAATGGTCTGGGGCAACTGGTAACCCAGCCAATCCCTGGAGCACAGGCCTGGTCTGAGGGCGTTCTTGGGCAGGAGTCAGCTGGAAGGAGAGAGAGGGGATGGGACTACTTCAGCACATTCTGGGAAATCCTGAAAGGTGAGATCAGTTCCGGGGTCACGATAAACTGTGGACTGGGTACCCCTGCAGTTGTGAGGGAAATCCCATCTTTTCATAAATTCATTCCCTCGATTCATCCTGAGGCTAGAGGTCTGCCCCACATGAACGGCGCCTCAGCTGCATGTGCCTAAGATGAGTAAGATGTGATATCCAGTCGGCTTAAATGAGAGGAAGTGAGAAAGCACATACTTCCATGGTTTTTCTAGTATGGCTTTATCTTTATTAAAATTATAATTGGAGTCAGTCATTACTTCCTATAAAAATGAACCAAGTCATAAGAATGAAACAAGTTTTTAAATACAGGCTCTAGGCTCGACTTGTTCCTCACTGAGCCCAATTACAATTAGTTCCCACTCTGTCTTACACTGTCGTTCCTGGTCCAACTGGCATATTTATACCAGTCTTTTATGGATTCAGAAGGCTCAAGTTCTGTGCTCATTTTTTCCTATCTTGACACAATTTGGCAAAGCAAACAGGATTCTTTTCTTTGGCCCTGCTAATCAGCCCGGAACTCACATGGAGAGACATTCCCCAGACATGGAGCCCTGCAATCAACAGTGGCCCCTGTGCCCCGGTTATATGAATTCACATAACAATCACCTGGGAAACTTGTTATAAAGGCAGATTCCGGGCTGCCAGCCCCAAATGTCTGGGTGGGCCACTGCAGATCACTGCATCTTAGTAAGTTTCCAGGTGAGTCTGACAGAGTTGCTGAGAAATGCCAGCCTGCCTGGGACAGCTGCATCAGGAACTTCCTTTTTGCAACGATGCCTCCTTATGCCTCCTTTGGTTCTCCCACCCAGCAGGTGCAGACATTTGCTAACAGAAGTTCTTTGCTGGATGTCAGAGCATTTTACAACCAGCTTTCTGCAGAACAGTAAAAAACAATAGAGTTCAACTTAAACATAGCCAAACAACTTTTAATGGAGCGGTCGAGTGATTTCTTCACTGAGCTCTGCTCTGAAGCAGATCTGAGACGCTCTGTTCACTCTGGACATTTTTGCAAGTTTTTCCTGGGCCCATCTCAGATTCGTTCTGCAAGAAACTGGGACCGCCATGTGGAAACTGGTCTCCCAGGACCATCACACTGGTTTATTTCAGACCTGTATCCCCAGGGGTCGGTGGGAGCTGGCTGAAGCCTCGAGCCAGCTGGGTAGCAGAGCCTCATGCCCAGCACTGCCTGGTGGCCTTCCGAGCTTCGCAACATGGGTGGTCTGCTTGCTGGCAGTGCGCAATGCTACGGGAGTTCACAGCCCCCTCTGGGGGACATGACGAATGGCCTCGCTGACAAAATGTGGTCTGCTTTCCATCTCTGAGCCATGAACGGTTTCGTTTTCAAAGCAGGAAAACAAACCACGGGAACCAGACACAACACACACAGGCCACAAATGATACAGCCATTTTTTCGTCTCAAATAAGGGACCTGAAAAGGTAAAAGAAAAACAGCTTTGTTAGAATTCTTTGATGAAAAGCTAATATGGAAAACTTAACCAGAGCTTGTAATGAAGCTTCCTGCGCCCTGGTTGAGATTCAGTCCTCTCTGGTGGGCAGCCCTACCTGATACTGGTCTTTTCCAGGGTCTTTCTAATTGTGCTCCAGCCCTGGTGCTTCCCAAGCTCCTTAGAGAGGGGATTGGGGCAGACCACACAGTGTTCTCAGAGCCCCTGCACCAAACAGCTCTATTTCTATCTGAGTCATTAATATATTGCTACTAAAGTCTCTTTTGAAGAAAAGGTTCTGCAGGTAAAGGACATCTGAAATACTGTAGAGTACTGTGATCTCACATGCATTCTAATGGGTGGTTACACTAAAGAAAGGAAGAGAAAAGAATTACGAGAAGTGCATTGATTTCCGTGTTCCTCCTCTCTCTGATGGTGCCCACCATTTCCATCTTTAACCCTCTGCTCCTCTCGCTAGGGGTGTGCATGCTAACTTAAGGCTGAGTTATCAAAAGCAAGAAAGAACTAGCAAAGAATTATGTCTCTATATATTCTGAATGACAAGAAAAGCACATTGGCTTACCAATACAATAAATGAGTCCCCTGCTTCAGCCTATCCCAGTTGGCAGACATTAGCCCATGGGCATAGAGCCTGCCCTCTCTATGTTCCTACAGCAACATGAGAAATACAACAGATAACTCATGGTGGCCACCTGGTTAGTCATGGTTCACCCTTCCATGCCCACCACCCACAAACGAGTGCTCCCCACTGACTATGTCTGTAAGTATACACATGTGTAAAATAAGTATGTTTAATAAGTGGCCTTGTTCCCCCTAAGCGGCCATAGCTAACTGAACCAATCTGGGCCAATGGATTCTTCCTCTCCTTAGTGTGGTGGTTAAGAGCATGGACTGGTGCTAATGTAGAAGGTGTGGTAAGAAGTAGGGTGATAGGTGTTGTGGGTGAAGAATGAACCATGAACACAGGTAGGGAGGCATAAATGAATAAAGAGTGTATGGTAGGCTGGAGGGAGCACCTAGAAAGGAGGGTAGGGCCCCTGTTGTGTCATGTTAAAGTATTTGCAATTTTCTCTTAGGCAACTGGCAGACATTAGGAGGCACCTTAAATAAGGAAGTGAAATGATTAAATCTAAATCTCACAAAGTTAACCCTAGTGGCTCAGTGGAATATGAATAGGGAGTGGTGAGGTGGTTGGGAAACTCTCTCTCAAAATAGTTCATTTGTTTAGTCTTCAAAAACCTTTATGCAATGTTTGGCATGTGTCAAAGGAGAGAGGGTAAAGGCTTAAACTGTGCTGGTCATTGTGAGAAAGAAGGAGGAAGAGATTCACAACACAGATCCCACAGGACTTGACTCTGCTTTGATGTGGTATGACGAGGGAGGGGCAGGAGTCAAGGGTTACTGAGACCACAAAGGCACTGATAGGGCCATTATTCCAAAGGGCACAAGAAAGAAGAGGAGCTCTTTGGGATAGAGATGGAGGAGTGGTTGGGATGTATACGGAACTGCGTTTCCTTCCTGAGAACTGAGACTATCCTAACATTCAGAAGGTTTTCAGGAGACTTAGCATGAACCCACACCTTCTACAAAACTAGCGTTAAAGTGAGGAAGTGCGTGCAGCAATCAGAACGTGCTAACAGGGAGGTCATCCAAAGAACAAATTATTAGAAAGGAGTGTGACCCCCCAATGTGAAAGCCCTTTCAGAAGTGGTCATGCCACCCAACAATCCATAGCAGAGCCAGGACACGATTGCGTCCTGTGAGGGTGGGCTTCTTCGGAGAACTTAGATAAATATTTGGGCCCGTGGAAGAATGCTGGCTTAACTTCTTTCGGGAAAGAATGCTCAGAGTAATGAGGTAAGAGCAGAAGATCCTATTTTCTGCCGGTTTTCTCCCCTTCTTCACTCCTGTTCTTTTAGAACTCTCCTCAGAGGTGGTCTCTCAAGCTTCTGAAACCCACGCCTGGCTCCAACGTACCCCCGCCCCATATGCAAGCATGCATTAAAATATGGACAATTCTGTGAGTTATCAGGATGTTTTTCTGCATCGCCTACTTACCCATAGAAGTATTAGAAAGATGGAGTGGTGGGGAATATGAGAAAGAGCAGGGCTTTGGTGCCAGACAAACACTGCGTCGAATTCTGCCTGATGTGATCCTGGGTAAGACACTGAGCTTTTCTGAGCCTCCGTGTTTTAAAACCTCGTTACGCTTCTTCAGTATGGGTGGTGATGTCTATGAAATCTCTAGTGCTTAGTAGGCATTTGACAAATATAAAATGAAATTAGTACTATGTGACTACACACCGTTAAGGTTTCCTTGTTTCATTGTTCATCATAGTGAATAATGGTCTCAGCACATCCTCCAACAGGTAAAATCTCTAGAAACAAAACTTTAGCAAATATCAGTGTGGAATTTATTCATGTTTTATTTAATTACTTGGGGCATTTAATGAAAGAATGAATTATTAAGTGAGAACATTGATTGTTCCCTGTGTATGGCAAGATCTCCTGTGTATGCTTAAAATAGCTCCATAAAACGTAGTGCAGGCGATAGTAAATTAAAGAAAGGGAGGAAAATGGAACTAAGATTGAAAACACAGTTTAGCTCGTAAGTCTGCATAAAATGATAGCCACACCTCAATTACCCCCCACCCCCATTCCCCACACCAGGACTTCTGGCTACCTAGCATGGTATGGAGTCCAGACCCAAAAGAGAATCAAATGCTGCTGCAAGAGGTTGGAGATGTCCGACTGCTTGATTCATGGTGTCCATGCCCCTCCAGATCCTCTACCCTTTTTCACCCCGCTCTGGACACTAGAAGCCTTGGTCTTTGGCTTCTCGTTGGGTTTCTCCAATGGGAAACCCTTGCAGGACGTGGAAGGAAGGGAAAAGAGAAGGTTTGAGGTATTTATCCTCTGGTTCTCTCAACTGAGATTATTGTCCCTTCCCAATGGGGTCTCTCTCTATGACACTCTCTTTCCAGATTCCAGGTTCCCTTTCCTCACCCCTTTGAGTCTAGAGGTGGTAACAGCTCCCTTGTTTTAGGCCTAGGGTATTGCACCATCCCTTGTGTGGTGCATTTTGCCCACACTTGGTAAATAGTGTTTGAAATAAACCTTTCTAGAGTTTTTCCAATTTGAGTGTGTCATCTATTTCTTGCTGGGCCCTTGACTGCAACAATTATACAAGCCAAGTCTCACTGGTACTTAAGACTGAGAAATCTGGAGTAAAGAAGGCAAAAGGAGAAAGAAGAAAAGCAGAAAGAAGAGAAGGGAGTGGAGGACAGAGGAGTAGAGAAAGCAAGCTACAAACTGGGGTAACATCAACAGAGTGGATACATGATGCATGGGGCAAAGAGGTGAAACACCGAGATTGTAGTCGGGGTCCATCCAGCACACTTAGACTCCCCAGCCCTTTAGAACATAGCAAGTGTCAAAGTATAGCCACACAGGATGGTCCACACAAGCGGGTTGGAG